CCATATCACAAAGTTCAAGTCTTCTCAAAGTGGTTTCTTGAGCATAGCATCCAAGGTTATTCAGATGTGGTGAAACAGGACATTCACATCATGGAAGAGGAGCTGTGTGACACTGTCAGGAAGGCAAAAGGGGGTCCAACCTGGTACCAGCAAGGTTTACAGTATCTAATGTCTGGTGAGTGTATATTACATCATTAAATATATATATACACTCAGTTTTTGATACTTCAGTCTGAACCGCAGTTGTGGATCAGGCAGACACTGCTTTCCCCTCAAGCATGGCAGAAAACAAGCAACTGCAGCGAGCAGACAGCGACAGCACAACCTGCACAACGCTAAAACCTGCAAAGTTTAATTTCTCTCTCTGTCTGACTGGTTTTGCTGCCTTGTTTTCCTTTCTTGTTTCTCTTTGTCTTGATTATGATTAATTATTGTTACCTCATCCGTCCTACCATCCACTTTTCTTTTCATTGTTTTACACATGTATTGTTTTCACTTAACTGCACAAATAAAAAGGCTCTCATTGTCCGCTAACAGGGAGTGTTTGTTGCTGTTTGGCTGACAATTCAACGTTAAATCTGTGGAAACGCTGCTGCTGCTTCATTATGCTTGCCTGCACTAATAATAGACTAATTAATCAGCCAATGATGCACTCTATTATTTCTTATTCAATAAAATGTCAAACAATAGCAATGCTTCTCGCAATCTCTCAAAGTCCAAATTAAATCAATTTGTTATGTCAAAATGACAAGTAATTCGTTTCTCTAATACCATTTTATGTTTTAATGGATTTAAATATATCAAGTAGCTCTCATGTGGGAGATGCTTGTGTTATTTCTTCTCAGAGGTTTGTTTGACTTACAACACAACCAGCAACAAATTGAGTTTAGCTCAGCTTGAGCTGCCTCCCGGCTGCCACGGGGCATCCAGAGGGCTGAGTCACTCGGTGAACTGAAGTTATGCCAAGAGGAGCAGACAGGGGGAAAGCCCAGGCCTCTTCCTCTGCAGTGGGGGAATCACTCCTTGTTAAATGTGGACGTGGTTTATTGGGTCACCTCCATTCTCGTGGCCTGATTAGTGGAGCATGGTCATGCAGATTTGAGCAGAGGCAGCTGGATTAGCATGATGCTCCAAGCACTGATACATTTTGTGTCTCAGGGGTGAAATGCAGGCTTGCAAAATGACTGAATCTATTTGTCTGGGGTTATCAGAGGGAGCTCTTCAGATTCAGTGAATATCTTGGCCAGTGGGCATTACTGACAAGCCCTGGGGGGGGGGGTGTTTACTGGGATGTGATGTGGGCTGCAGAGGGTGTAATGTGATGGCTGGCAGGAGTCAAATCTTCAGATTAAAGCATAAAGCTTACGTCAGTCCCGCTGTAGGTGTACAAATCAAAGGCACCGGCATATTTATGCTCATGTTTCTGAAAAAAAAAATCAGTCATGGATCAAAATTCTGTTTTTTATTTATTTTTAGCTTATTTGAAAGTATGTCTGACCTCAGCTCTGTCCAGCTCCTTTGCCACGATCGTGTCTTGTGGTTGTTGTTGTTTTTTTTTCTTTAATTTTCCAGTTTTGTCCTCGGCTCCTTCTTTTAAAGCCATCCATGTGCAATCCAGTCTCATTCTTGGGTGTTACATAATTTTGTCAGTTGCCACCGAACCTCACCATTCTGCTCAAGGTGCACTTTTTCACCCATCCTTGAAACACTTGCTGCATCAATATTAGCTATCATTTTAGAGTTTTAGCCACCTACAGCACCTACAGCATCCGCAAGTGTAGGTTAAGTGAGTGGAGGTGATGTAAGTTGCAGGTTTATGATCCAGGAGACAGTGGTGGTCGACTTCCTGCTGGTATCTTGATGTTTTCCACTTTGAAATTTGTGGTTTAGAAACCTACAAGCAGCTCAGTTTAGGGAAAGATTATTGACACACCATCATATTTCCTGTCCCCAGGAACAGCTGGACATATTTATGTTATCTAACTTTTATTTATACAAGTTGTCCCATTGAGACTAAATGTCTTATTTACAAAAGACCCTTTTCAGACAAACACATTGAAATTACAACAATTAAAGTTACTTCATATTTCAAACCATAGGGAGCACACATGAATCCAACTGTGGTGCGTTATTCTTTTAGTTACTTATATTTTATACAATCCCAATTCCCAAAAAAGTTGGGCTGTGTAAAATGTAAATAAAACAGAATATAATGATTTGAAAATCTCAGTGTGGTAGAAACAGAAGAAAGGGGTGGGGCTAAATAAGCTTCTTCCCAATCCTTTTTGAACATGACGAGTTATGATTTATTAGGATTATTTTGTTTTCCCTATGTTTTGTGTTTGATTGATTTTTTTTATATCAAATAGCAAGTTTGACCTTAGACCTCTAACTTCTTTAAGTTCAAATAAGGTCAAACTTTCATAAAATGCCTTTTATATTTAAAACTTTGCCTAAAATTCTCATGCCTTTGTTTGTATTGGCCCGCAATGCATGGTATATGGGTATTATAAACTTCGCATTATAATTGTCATGTCGGATTTGACTTCTGACCTCACTTTTATATTTCATATCTGCCAACGGGGCAAATAATAAAAGCCAAACATTGCACTTGTTTTTACTGCACTACAAACTTCTAAAATTATTCTTAAAAAGGACAAATAAAATAAATACACACAAAATACAAACTATATTCTCTTGAAAGTAAATCCTGCCTAGAGTGTGAACTGCCTCGTGATTTTTTTTTTATTCACATTTTGTATCAGATTTGGGGTCATATGTGGACTTAGGTTTTCACTTATGTTTAATTTATGGATTGTCACACATGACATACACTGCCTATGGCACAGGTTAGGGTGGTGTGTGCGTTGCTGACAGAGTCTCCAGAATCAGAGCTCACGCTCCTGATGTTTTTGGAAATTTACCTGTTTCTAAGCATTCGCTGATTTCGTGGTGCAGGAGAAAACTCCCAGAGAAAGTCATTTACTGTGGTGATATTCTGAGTGATTCAAAGATAGAAGCTTTGCAAACATTTTCGCCATTTTCAGTGTTCAACCTTAGATTTTTAGCCAACAGAATATTTTAATGCTTTTAGATAGTTATATTCTCTACACACAGTTTAAAGAAGGTCACCATGACAATGCCCACATACACACAGCTGAGTGGCTTACGAAGAGCTCTGACCTCACACCATCCGAAACCACTGGGATGATCTATGACACAAGCCTCGACACGGCTACTGATGCAAATCTCAGCAAATCCCACAAACGGGCTCCAAAAAGTCGATTTAATCAGTCGTGTGGAGCTCTGCCTTTGACAGCGGTTTATGGGATTTTGGTTAGTTTCATTAAAATATTATTAAGGGTTATAGGCTACATGTTTTTCATTATTTCTTGCAAAGTTTTGTTCGTGGTCTGAGTCTTTAACAGGCTATATTGCTTTTTTCTGGCTTTGATGAGTATGAGGCAACCAGCCCACTGCTGTGGTTCCCTGTCACCTCTTCCTCCTGCCACAGGGTCAGCTCTCATGATGCTTAGATGCGACCCTTTGGAAGTAGCTCTCCTGTATATTGCCCCTCATGGTCTGAAGTGGTACCTCGGTGGTGCTGAGAGAAGAAAGCATGCTGGTTGAGCAGACATCATGCTATTCTCATAACCTCTCCATCCCACTCAAACCCCCCCGTGACAAAACCACAACCTATACAACCCCAGAGGAACAGCGAAAGAGTGTTTGCATGCAGGTGTTTCGATGGGAGTTTGAAGGGCGGTTATTGCTGCTGTTCTGTGCTAATTGTGTCTGATCAGACTTTTATTTTACAGTCTCCACCTGTGGCTGGTTATCAGGTGAGGATTACAGGAGCAAATGTGAGCAAGAAAAAAATTGCACTGCTGTTTTATTTGAGATTCTTCTTTTATTCTGTGTGGACATCATTTTGATTGCAGTGGATTATCCTCTACGATGGCACATAATCACTGATAATGCCCCTGTGAAGACAACTGGAGATGCAGGCTTCTTAGCATGCAGTAAGACTGCGGAAAGAGCTTTTTCTAAAACCGAAGGAGTACTTTTTCTGCTTAAACCCATCCATGTTTTTTCCCTATACCTGTGACTGTAGGCAGATCGAGCAGTCAAACTCATGTCATGGCCCCTTGGTTTGTTACGTTTGTTGTTTTGCCCCTGCTATATGTGTTCCCCTGTTTAGTCTGTATGTCACGATACAGTTTTCTAATGTCTCATTAGTTTCACCAGCATTAAATTGTTTCCACCTGTGTCTCATTTCCAATGAACAAGCTATAGACAATGTTGTGTCTTCACTCATCAAGGCCCTGACCTCTGACAGGTTCAACATACCCAAACTTTTTTTTTTAATCTGGATTCACTTAACCTATCATCAGTAATCAGGATAACAGTCGCACAGAGCGATATCAGCATATTGTTAAGGTAACCCAGGTATTCACCTGCATGTTTGCATTAATGGGGCAACATTAGCAGTATCTGCCCAATCACAACAATGGATAAATAAACTGGTAGAAGAGTGACGAATGCTACAGAGGAAGAAAAATATTTGATACAAGAAAAATTCTTCCTACTTCTTTTTCTCTCTCTCGTGGATCCAGTTTTGTCTTCTTTGCCCTTTTGTGGGTTTAGAGTGTTTTCTATCACCTGGTAAAGTTTAGCGACTTTAGCTAAGAGGTTCAAAACTGAACTGAAAAAGAAAAAAAAAAGAGAAGGAAAACCTAGGATCATCTGAATAGAAGCATGAACGATGTCCTTGGTCAGCCTGGACAAGAGGACGTGAGGTGAAAACTGCATCTATCCACTGCAGCCACATCCTCGCGGTATTGTCATCTGATACCAGTGCAGATTCACGTTCATTTTGCCTCCTATACCAACCAAACAGTCAATAATAACCAGAAAGTTTTTAACCCACTAAAAAAGTAATGTACTGATTCAGTAATCCACCACATGTCAAAGGTTTTTTGCTTTTTCTTACAGTTTGCATTCTTAACTGTTCGAACGTTCGGTGCATACCTCTTTGCATACATTTGCAGTTATTTTGCCAGCCTCACAAGAATAAAGACCGATTAATTCATAGACACCTTACTCTCAGGCTAATTGAAGACCAAAAACTGATGTTGCCATGGTAGCAATATGTGACACCTGCTTCGACTTGTGACACTCGACAACAACAACACAAAAAAGAGGAAATGGTGGCTTGTAATTTGAGGGTTTTTTTTATTATTAAGGAAGCAATGAGATGCAGTTTTTAGAGAACCCATTGAAAATGAAGAGCAGTGAGGTCATCGTCAGCCATGTTTGCCGGAGGTAAGCACCCGCATGAAAAATTAACAAGTCACGTTAAGAAGCCGGAGCATCCAGGCCCTGCTGTGGGTTTGCACAGCTACTGCTTTCTGTCACTGCATTTGTTTCCCAGTAAAACGTCATCATAACCGTTGAATTCTTCCCAAATACAAACATTTTCGACCACGGTAAATAGAGCTGGGTGTTTAGATACTGTCACTCAGCCGTGTTCTTGTTATTTGAAAAAAAAAATGTCTAAACTTGTCCTGCCTAACATGTCTAAGACTAAACTTCTTTGTGCAGCAGATGAATCGATGTGAAAGTCCATCTTTGTGATGTCTGACCTTGTGGTGAATAGGAGGATGTTTAAGAAACTACTCGATATTATGGACAATGCATCTCAACCGCTGCACTCCACACGTTAGCCATAGACACACTCCCCTTCTCATTTCCACTGCACATCCATGACTCCGCTCCTCACATTGCAGTCCCAGAGCAGAGGAGGTGAGGCAAAGGGGTATTTAACAAAATGATCCTCCTCACCTTGCTTTAAAGTTACAACTGTGGAAAATGTCTAAAATATCTCAAAAATGAACAGATCATGTCATGATCCACAGAAACATCTATCGTCTATCATTATGAAAAGGGTTACAAAGACATTTTTAATGCTTTGGGACTCCAGTGAACCAAAGTGAGAGCCATTATTCACAAATGGAGACAACTTGGAACAGTGGTGAATGTTCACAGGAGATCAACGACTGATCCAGGAGGTCAGAACCCAGAACAACGTCTAAGGAACTCTGTTCCTTGTCTTGGTTAAGGTCAGAGTTCATGAGACTGGGCAAAACAGCATCCATGGGAGATCCAAGGAGAAAACCACTGCTGACCAAAAAGAACACCAAGACTCGTCTCACATTTGGCAAGAGAGAAAGATAAGAACATCTCGACAATCTTGATGATCCTCAAGACTTTTCAGAAAATATTCAGTGGACTGATGAGACAAAGGATGAACTTTTTTGGATGTTTTGAGTGTTGTTACACGTGTTATAAATTAACACAGCATTTCATTTAAAAAAAAACAAAAACAAGGACCAACAGTCAAACATGGTGGTGGTAATGTGATGGTCTGGGGTTGCTTTGCTGCTTCAGGACGACTTACTGTAACTGATGGAAACATCAATTCTCTCTACCAGAAAGACCTGAAGGAGGACGTCTCTCCATCAGCTCATGTCCTGAAGTTCAAGCTCAGTCAGGTTATGTGCCAGGACAATTATCCGAAACACATCATTAAGTCAACCCTTTAATGTCTTTTTTATATTTATGGACAATTTAAATTAAATTAAAAATACATAGAAACAGTAATCGACAGAAAATCCTTCTGTAAAAGGATACACGTGTGTATCCTCCGTTATCGCTCTTCTAGTGAAGCCGCCGCTCCGCTCCGGCCTGAAGATGTATTTTGAGGAGCTGAGACACGTCTAACAACATGGTGTACTGAGATTGATTTCCAGGTCACACACAGGAGGAGGCACAAATTAGTGAAACAGGACAACCGACATGAATACGAAACACAGCCATCAGTCTTTATAACCTCTCCGATGTCAGCGTGCTGGGCCGTTGACTCAGCATTTTGAGTGCATTTTGTATTTTTGATCCCTTTTTGCTATTTTGGGGAAATGTTTAACTTCTAGTGTTTACAGTTTGCATAGAGTTTAGACCTGGTTAGGTTGTAAGTTTAATTAGAATTATGATCCATGTTTTCTTGTTGATGTGTACGTATATGTTCGTTATGTCTGTGTCTCCCTCCGTGTCTCCGCTCGCTTTTCTGTTCCCACGTTTCATGCCATGTCTCCCCAGCCCTTCACCTCCCTCTGTTTCCATGTTCTCCTGTTCTTTCCCAGTCCCAGTGTCAAGTCTGTGTGTCTTAGTCTGCGCGGTTCCTGTTTTATTTTGATGGTCTCTTATCTCGTGTTCAGTGTGTTCAGTTTTGCTTCCTCTTGTGTCATTAGGCCTATTCATCCCAGCTGCGTTCCTCGTGTGTTTCCACTTCCCTCGTCACCCTCATGTGCATTTATTGCGTGAGTTTCCCTGTGTTCATCATCAGGTTATCTGCGCACCTCTCCTTGTGTGTCCAGGTTTCATGGTTTCTTAGAAGTTTTCCCAGTTTATGTTACAGGTTTGGGTTACATTCTGGGTTTTTTTTTGTTATTTTGTGTCTTTGTGTAAAACCAAGAGTCTGCAGCAGCAGGCTGTAACATCCCATTTCAAAATCAGCTAAAACATTAACACTTAAAACCGTATCAGTGCAGAACGACTCTGAACAGGTCTGATTGTTTAAATGCTCTGTGTCCGACTATCATCAGCATCTCTTGATTCCTCTCCTGCTTTTGCAGCAGCATTTGAGTTTGGAGCGCGCAGGAAAAACAGGTTTGAGTCTCCATGTGTACCTTTCTTCCAGCTTCTCTCTCAGGCAATTATGAACCATGGCTCTCTCCCCTTCATTAGATTATCTCCCATGGTCTACCAGAGTGTTCAGGAAGACCATAGTCATTACCCAAGCTACTCCACGTTACCGGCAGCACAAAAACCCCGCTTTCACCTAGTAATTTGAGTCAGACAGACTCATCAGGGCAGGAGACAACAGTGAGATATGGAAGTACTACTGCCACTATCTGCAGATATCCATGTCCTGCACCGCCTTGATTACACAGGAGGATTTAGAGTGCACACTTGGCAGAGGCGACGTTCCTGGGGACATATTAGGCTCATTAGTTCCCCGGGCTTCTGCCAGTGGAGTACTTCAGCCGGAGGGATTTGTTGTACACAGTTGTCAGAGTGACAAACAGGGATATTCACAATAATGGAGTTCTTAATAGAGTAGATGCATAACAGTCGGCCATATTCCCGCCACAGAGGCGGTTTTGGTCCCTTTTCGAAAATAACTTAGCGGTCTGTCGCTCCCACTGGAACGTATCATTAAACGCACACTGGTATCTCTGGGGCAGCGCACAACCTTAATATCAATAAGGATCCAATCACTTATGTAATCAGGCAGGAAATAACAAGATCTCATTTGTCGGCAAGGGAAATGATGCAGCCCATAAAAAGATGAAAAACAGTATTAATTGCCAAGATCCTGTGCATAGGGGGCCCATTGTCACGCTATATGATTTAGTCGTAATTCGACATGCTTGTGAATCCATGTGCAGAGCAAAAGGCTCAATTATAGAAACGAATAAGCCAGGGAGCTTTAATTTTTTTGTGCTGCTGGGGGTGTGGGTGTGGATTTCCCTTCAAATAAAGATGCAGCAGGCTGTATGTGTACATCACAGAAAACACTTGTTTATTTCTGGTCTGGCAGCTCGGTAATGACGGAAAGTTTTTCAGTCATTCCAGAGACCGTCAGGTTTTCATCGCTTATGGAACAGTTGAGTAATGATACAACCGGGTGTGAAATTGCTTTCCTCCCTGTAATGTCAAACAACTACTTAAGAGGTGAGATTATTGCACAGGGATTTTAGCAAGCCAAAAAAAGAACCCCTCCAACAAAGCTGCCAATCACAGCAGGTTTGGTGCTCGTGGCACAGAGCGTACACTTCTGTGGGCTCTTTGTTGCTGGAATAAAGGAAAACCGGCAACAAGAAGTGCTCAAAGTCTGTCTACTCCAAGTGACTGTTTGGGGCAAAAATATGGGATTTGTTTTGCTCAAAAAGTTGAAAAGCATCTAAAGTTGACTTTACGGATCAGCTTGTTGACTGGAGCGAGACCTGCTGTGGCTTAAAGGAGATAGAGGACCCACTGGGCTGTTTCCACATTTCGACTGAGGACATTTCTCCAAAAGAGAATTCTGAGGAAAAAAAGAAGAAACTTTAGTTTGATGCTTCACTGCCAACATTAGGGTATACATTTGAAAAAAACATTTAAACACAACTGAAAATACACAGTCGTTACTTCTGCTGAGGAGACTGTATGACTGGTTCAGTTTGTTAGCAGGTTACTCAAAGTTTTGGAAAATTTACCAGAGCTGAAGGTTTGCCCAACTTCAAAGTGATAAAGTCAACCGGAATCTGAACGATGTCCTTGACCTGCTCTACCCCCTGGCTGTGATTCAGGAGGTAGAGCAGGTCATCTTGGTGATTTAATCCATGAGTCTACATGCCAAAGTACCCTTGGGCAAGAACCCTGAGTTTCTCGTCATTTATTGGAGTGTAAATGTTAAACATACCCCACATCCGGTAAGGTAGAACAGCGCTACATAAGAGCAAGTTTTATTATCACTGATCCATCCTTTTTCTCACAAGATATATGGTAATATTAGGGGTTTGGGATACATTCAGCAGCTCAACAGCTACTAACATCCATACCTAAGGCCAACTTGGAATAAAGTAGCTAACCTAAGAAACACGTCCTTGGACATGTATTTGGAGTCTCCATCTATCTGACCAGGAGGTTCAAAACAAGTAGTGATGGGATTTCCGGCTCTTGTTAGAGAACCGGCTCTTTTGGCTCGACTCACTAAAAAGAGCCGGCTCTTTTCAGCTCCGAACCGGCTCTTCAGGTTGTTTTGTTGCTTTTTTGGGGGGAAAAACAAACAAACCCACGGCTCGCAATAAGGAGCCGGCTTGCGTCGTTCACGTCAAAGATCCGGCTCTAAGAGCCATTTCGTTCGCGACCGACACATCACTAAAAGCAAGAACCATCTTGCTGCAGAGTGACAGCACTAACAGCTGTGACATTCTGCCCCCTTTCACAAAGACATGTGAAACTGAATTTGTAATGTTGGGAGATGTTGTCTTGAAGTTTTCAAGAAAATATCACAAATAAATCCAGATCTAAATATCCAATTCGATTCACAGATTCAGTCTATTTACGGTGTAATGCAGCGGTCCCCAACCCTTTTTGCGCCACGGACCGGTTTATGCCCGACAATATTTTCACGGACCGGCCTTTAATGTGTCGCGGATAAATACAACAAAATAAAACTAGTACCGGTACCGAAAAAAGGAAGATTTATTCATAACACACGTGAAAAGACCCAGGAAAACCGAGTTAACGATAACAAAATAACGCTAAAAACCCTGAAAACCATACATTTCACACCTGAGCCTCAACTCTCGCAGCCCGGTACCGTTCCGAGGCCTGGGGGTTGGGGACCGCTGGTGTACTAAAGGACATTTTCAGGCTTGGTTTCGCTCAGACTGCTTCTCTTATGCATCCGTGACCGCGACCGGCACTGCAGCCTCGATGGATGTGCTGTGGGAATACAAATAGGCTCTGCAGTTGGAATAGATTGGTCATTAAACGGCCTCTAACCTGCGTGATGCCTGAATGCACACTCGATGCAAATAATCCACACACTGTAGTGAGAGGCAGCAATCAGAATATAACTGATGTAAAATGCCTCCTGCTGCAGGGCAGTTTCTCCTGACCCAATTCCACCTACATTTTCTGGAGTTTATTACCATCCATTCACAATTATACCCACATCTACCAACAGTTTAGAAAACACCAGTTTAGCTAACAAACAAACAAACAAAACTTCACACGGAGAGGTTTGAACCAAAAGTGAGAAAAGCGTGCAAGAAAGAAAAACTTCAGACGATGCCCTAAATTAAAATATTTTAGGAGTTTACCATTTTGATTTAGATTTATTATATAATAATATCTATTAACGTTTATTAAAACAGACTTGGATAAACTTACCAGCTGTCTTTCCATGGACCTGAGCACAGCTTCCACATCTAAAACCCAGCTCTGTGTGGAGCAGGAGGTGGGTGCGGGTTGTCAAAGGGGACACAGGGAAAGCAACAAAATGAAGTATTTCATCATTTAAAGAAAGATGTTGCAAACGAAATTGGCTCATGCGCCTTTTGATCACAGCAGACACAGATCTGAGCATACAGAGAGCTTTCACATTTTGGTTGATAAAATATTAAAGAGGCTCCGGGAGGCAGCAACCTTACTGCACCTCTAATGCACACAGGTGGTCTGCTTCAGTTTAGATGGAAAGGGCAGCCTTCAGTGTAACCAATTTAAACAACATACCTCACTTTACAGGACATGTTTTCTGTTTGAAGATGCTCTACATTTGTCTCAAGGTCATGTTAAGTGTGTACGGAGGTCCAGCATAAGCACAGTTTTTCAGCAATTACAAATGTTTTCTGGTTTTTGTCTCTTGTCTCATTGATTTGGAGTAAACCTTTACAACAAGGGACACAAAGTTACTCATTAGTTGTTGTTTTTTTTAAGTAATTGTTGTTTTAGTTGGTCATCAGGAAGAAAGTCTGATTTATGCATCATTACTATTCTTTTATACAGTATATATAACACCAGACTGGACCCCGTTTTGTTTCCTTCAGAGGGGTGTTAATTCTTTGTAACACAGACTCAACAAGATGCTGGAAATATTCAGAGTTTTTGGTCCATGTTGACGTGACAACATCACACAATCATTGCAGATTTGTTGGCTGCACATCCATGATGTGAAACTCCTGTTTCACCACATCCCAAAGGTGCTGTGCTGAACTCAGATCTGGTGGCTGTGGAGGCCATTTGAGTGCAGTAAGCTCATTGTGATGTTCAAGGAACCAGTTTGAGAGAATTTGAGCTTCGTGATTTGATACGTTGTCCTGCTGGAAGCAGCCATGAGTAGATGGGTACACTGTTGTCATAAAGTGATGGACCTGGTCTTCAACAACACTCAGATAGGCATAACTTATGTCCAGTTGGTGCAAAGAGGCCCAAAGTGTGATCCCTGCTTTCATGTTGTTGAAGGCAAATTCCGACCCTACGATTTGAGTGTTGCAGCAGAAATTGAGTCTCATTAGACCAGCCAACATTTTAACAGTGTTCCAGTTTTAGTGAGGCTGTGCAAGTTCAGAGATGCTCTTCTGCAAACTGTGATTCTAATGAGTTACTGTTGTCTTTAGCTTGAAGTAGTCTGGTTACTCCTTTGACTTCTTGTATCAAAGTATTCTCACCCTGAGAACTGAAAAGTTTCTAATTTCAGATCATTCTCTGCAAACCCCAGACAAGGATATAGACAAGGATATGTGCAAAAAACCCCAGCAGAAATACTCAGACCGGCCATGACCAGTGACTTTTATAAATAAAAAGGATAAATTAGAGTCTGTAATACCAATGTGTCAGCACTGCAGCTGTACTCAATTCGTTGAAGCAGAATCTTTGTCATCGGTAGTAGTTTAGTGAATGAGTCGCCCATGGCAACTTGGGAAAAATGGTGCTTTTATAATTGACACAGCCTCCTGGGTGGAAGGGGTTAAGGTATTTAATTTCCACTTAAATTAAAAGTTCACACACAGCTGGAGACAGATCTGTGCCGATGGGCTGATTCGTCCTCGTCTCTCTTAATATTTGCTGTGAGCACAGCATGGTGCAGTTCTGCTTCATGGTCACTGTGAGGTAATTTACTTGTGTTCACAGCTTCATTAATCAAACTAATTAATACTTTAATTGGTACATTTTTTAATATCAGCTCAGTCAAAAAACAAAAAATGTAGGTGGGCTTTAAGAACTTGCCTGATTGTAAGGCAGCGTTTTATCCTGTATTGGTAAACATATATATAAGCATGTATAGACATTTAAAGGACGATCTTGAGCACTTGACTCCTGCTGTCAGGTGATCTGGTGGCTCTTTTTAGGGTATTTGCTGGACATGTTTTGTGTCCATTTTATGCTTTTGGAGGAAAGGGTCCATGAAAAACAGTACACAGTTATTCTGAGTGTTCACCTATGTTGAAACATTTTTATCCTATTTGAAGTGATGTCTTTAAATCTAACAATGCCAAAAGGGCACATGGGCCAACTGAACGAATAAATGAGTATTATATGCTATGGCCTTAAATGTCACCAGTTAAACACCTATGGCAGATTTGTACTGATATAATTGACACCATTCTCCATCACCAAGTGAACGAATGTGTTGAAAGACTCTCTTTTCTCCCACATTTTTATTGGTTCTGTAGAAAACAAACATTTCTGAAGTCTGGCTTTTACCCAATGTACATGAAGGGAAGGCTTTAAAAATTTTTTTATAGCAAGTAGGTTGGCCTGTGTAATGCCTTACTCATCAAGGACAGTAACAAGTTACTAAAAAGTCACAAGCTTTGCAGATTTTAAGAAATATAAATGATGGAAACTACCAGGATGAAAATGAGAGAGTCGTTTATTCTGAGAAACAGTTTTTGTTACGAGTTATTTTTCAGATATGGCATAACAGTTTGCTAATCTATGGATACATCCAAACTATCCTGCTCTCCTTCACTGGTTCAGGTGGGTTTGCTATCCACAGAACTACAATATTTTGATTTGGAGCATTCAGCCATTTTCTCGTCAGTCAAGTACTCAAACCGAATGTCTGAACCTGCAGTTCCTGTTGTAACTAACCAGAATTACTACTGCAACAAGGCCTCATCAGTAAGATCAAATTCTCCTCAATTTTATTCATGAAGTGCTAATTCACAATATCAGTTGACTCAAAGTGCTTTATATTGCAAGATAAAGACCCTTCAATATTAAAAATAAAATGCAACAATCAAACACCCTCCTATGAGCAAGCACTAGCCAACAGTAGGAAGAAAAAACTAACATGGAAGAAACCTTCTGCAGGCTTTAATGAAGTAGAATAGTAAGGTATTATAAGATCTTTAAGTTATGACAGAGCCAGATTTTTCAAGATTTAAAATAAAATTAAAATTGTAGATTTAACAGGTAATAAATGAAGAGAACCCTCTATGGAAGAAATATGCTCTCTTTCCAGTCCTTGTCAGTACTCTTGTGGTGGCATTTTGGATCTGCTGAAAGCTTTTTAAGGAACTTAAAGGAACAACATGACAAAAGTTAATTTCAATAATCCGGGAAGTAATAAATGCATGAACTAGCTTTTTAGCTTTAGTCTGAGACAGGATGTTTCCCATTTTAACAGTACAGAGCAGATGAATGAAGGCAGTTCTCCGTATTTGTTTAATGTGCACATTGAGGGACATATCCTGATCACAAATGACTACGAGATTCCTCACCGGAGGCCATGGTAACGTCATATAACAAAAGCATCTGGTTATACACCAGTTTCTACAAACTGCGTACCTAAATTTGAACTAAATTTAGAAATTAGAAGTCATCCAGGCCTTTATTTCTTTAAGACATTCCTCTAGGTTAACTAGTTGATTTTTGTCATTGGGCTTAATAGATAGATAACGCTGGGTAAAATCTGCATAGCAATAAAAATGTATACACAGTGTTTTCTAATAATATTGCCTAAGGGAAGCATGTATAATGTAAAAAATATTAGTAAAACTAACCTGTCTCATGATGGTTTGTAATGGTTAGCTTAGTCAGTTCAATCTGACAAACACTAACAAGCTCAATACATTAGTACTTGTGATGATGAGCCTTAAATTCATTAACTGCTGTATCCTTGAAAGAAGCAGCACGAGAAAAGTCATATGCAAATTATTCATATAATTTGCAGACATAATAAAGGCGCAGTGACACTGACTGATCTTCTGATCAATAATCAGTGTGTTATTGAATTGACCAAAATAGAGAGCATGCCATCTAAATTACTGAGTATTGACTGTGCTGGCAGTAGTCAGCAATGTGCAGATGCTCTCAGTTTGTTCTGTACCTAGAAAACAAGACTAGAACATGCTCAGGACAGCTTGTGGAAAAACAGTCTTACTCTGTGGCTTTGTCTCTTCTCTATGCTCCACTCGCTCAGATCCCTCCAGTGCCCTGGAAACAATGCATCGGCTGCCCTGCTGTCTCCTCTCTTAGCCATGATGTCGCCTCCACGCAGTGTGCTGGATCACAGCACTGACCACAACCAGCTCCTCAAAGGGCCAACACAGTTTTCACAAAGTGTAACACGAGTCTGGAAACTGATCTCTGTTAACACAGAGCCAAACTGTCGGTGGTAGTCATTGTTTTTGGACGTTATAAGGTAGCAGTATAGACAGTGCTGCCTTGTTACGGTCCCATTATCAGTCCAACAAAAGCTGAGAGAATGCACATCTTTTAATGATAGATTGCCTTTCAGTGCAGCGTTTCTAAATAATGGAAGATGCTTCAGCTGGCTTTGGGCCGTGATCATTAGAGGAGGCTGGGGTGCGGTATGAGGGTTTTGCAGAATAATGCAGGTCTCACCTTTCCAGCATGCTCCTATTGAGTCTGAACATTCAAACTATTCATACTGGAAGCTATGGACAAATAAAACACATTTAAACAAACAGGGCACTGAATATAGGAGCTGGATGTTCCTCAAAATATTTTTGACGGGAATATGAATATGAATTGGTGGCTGAAATAAAGACTTAAAATTTTTAAACCAGGTTGAGAGGCTAACACAGAGGGAAAGGCAACCATTCTCAAATTAACCAATTTAGAATCACCATTCAAGCCTTAACTCACTAATTAGATGTCTGCCCAGGAACAATATCAAAAGTAGTAAAAACTATATGAGCAAACTAAGACTACTGGTGCAGGTGAATCAGAGAGAAAAACAAAACAAAACAGGAAAACAGCACAGCAAGTTGTGCTTCTTACATCAAAAAGTTGTTTTACAAAGGGGTTCACCGATAAATGCCACAACAGAAGCTTTTATCTGTGATTATTTAATGGAAATGATCTGTGGCACCAAAATCCATAATGCTTACCTGAGTTGGATGTCCATTAAGTGAGTGTCACTTGTCAGTGTCTTTGCTCTCCACCGATGGTGACTCCTTCTCCCGCGAGGCTTTTGGAAAGCTGTGAAGGAAGAGGGAGTGGGGGAGTGGTAGAGTGGGGGACACGGGGGGTCAGAGCGAGTACTTGTGAAGGTGATAAGTGATGAGATAATGGAGGTATAAGATCAGCATTCTGGGAAGAAGTAAAAAAAAAAGTTCTGTTTTGCTGGTCAGCTTGCACTTGTTTGTTTTCTTATAATGAGAAGGATCTTTTATGATGCGAACCTAAATGGGAAGTGAAATGTTCCCGCTTTGATGTAATTTTCTCTGCACAATAAGTTTCTGGAACAACAACCATGGTTTTGCTGCAGTTTTTAAAGACGTGTTGTTAACTGAAGGAATTGCTCAGAGACCACGCAGAAAACACGCTCAACACCCTAATGATGACTGTTCAATCCCTTCGAGGGCAAAATCAGTGCATTACACTTGGAAAACAGCTATTAGGGTCTTCATAGGAAATTTTCACAACTAACTTTGGATTGTTTTAGAAAACATAGGGAAAAAAAGTCAGATCTTTCTCCCACAGCAGGAAACGGGCTGCTTCAGATGTGCTCGCACCACCAAACATTGTATATGGTTTGGGTGATGATGCTGCTGGATCGAGCGGATAAGGAGCACAGAGAATATATTATGCTGATATAACATAACCCATCATAATATGGCTTATATAGAATAGAATAGAATAGAATAGAATAGAATAGAATAGAATAGAATAGCCTTTATTGTCATTGTACAGAGTACAACGAAATTGGAGTGCCACTCCCTTGGTGCAAGTTTCAATAATAAATATAAATGTAAAATATAAAAAGTACAAAAAAAACAATCGTAAGTACTCAAACAATAGTATGTACAGTATATACAGGATAGCAGCATTAATATAATGACAGTGACGGTATGGAATAGGTTCAATTGTTTTTGTGCTTATTTACTACGGTGATAGCTCTGGGAAAGAAGCTATCCCTG